GAGGTGAGGGCCTCAAGTGGTGGTTTGGCGGAGCAACGACGTCAGGCGGTGGTCCGGCGGAGCAACGGAGCCAGGCGGTGGTCCGGCGGAGCAACGACATCAGGCGGTGGTCCGGCGGAGGTGAGGGCCTCAAGTGGTGATCCGGCGAAGGTCCGGCGAAACTCCGGCGGTGGTCGAGGAGGAGCTTCTTCCTTCTCTTCTCTTCTTGCTTCGATCCCCCCCTCAAGAGAAATGAGGGGTCTATTTATAGATTTTATGGAGTGGCATGGCCCGTAAATAGGCAATAGATCAGGGTAAATGGGGAGTGGTTGAATGGACGGCCGATGTTGAATCCCTTGATTGTGGGCTGTTCGTCAGACAATTGAAGGTCTTAATGATGTCGGAATTCAGCGATCTTGGGCTCGTTGAATTCGTCTCGTCGAGCCGCTCGATTTGACTATAAGCACGTCATGTTTGGAAACCATTTGGTAATCCAAATCGTGGTTTGAACCTTCCAATAGCGCTTCGGGTCCTTGATTTGGACTTGTTTGGGCTTGTATTGAGTCGAATTTGGTGTCGTTGGATTCGTATTTCCGAGACTCTCAATTCGACTGTAAGTTTGCTGAAATCGGAGTTGAGATGGTCTCCGAATTAATTTTTGAAGTTCCCAACTTGATTTTGCCTCGAGATTCGTGCCTGATCAAGATAATTTTTTGAAGACGTATCAGGTATAGAACTTGGTGTGCCTAAGTCAGTTTTACAACCTCAAGCCCCCACGCTTTTTTGATCGACATACCATAATGCTCTAATAAAAAGCCACCAAAGTCGATAAGAAGTTGATCAAACAAAAGTAAACTAGCATAACAAGACCTATGATCGAAGTGAGATTGTGTTCTCCCTATGGAAGTAGCATGTGCCCAATCAGCAACGGTCTATTCTACCATTCAACGGGGCTATAAGCTCTCAAAGCAAAGGTCGGCACATGTCCTAAGAATTTGATCAAGTTAATCATTAGTAAATAATATCCTAAGAATATAAAAGATTCTAATATGTACTCTCTCCTCTTGGCAGGAGAAAAAATCAAAGGGGCCAATAAAAAACCATCAAAGAGAGTATTTTGTCAGGCTCAATGATCACTATATTGAGGATAGGTCCCTTCATAACGACCACCATCGTATGTCTAGTCCTAATATTTCTATCCTCTAGGCAAAGTCGGAGAATTTCATTTAGATTGATCCTAACAACATCCAGCTAATATGCTTTTGAAGAGGTGGGATCATTAATATTCGGATTTGACAAAATAATAAAATTGGCACATGATCGGATTAAAACTATTTTCAATAGCATTTATGCATATAGGCAACCCAATAATATTATACCTTTCTTCCCGTTCAACTAATTGATCAATGGTTTGTATTTTTTCTTAGCTTACCCACAAAGTGCAGATAGATTCATGGTTGTATCAAAATGTAAAACCTAAGGAAAAATGAGCTATGGTAAAATGTTATCTATGCTAGTAAACAAGATAAACTAGATGTAATGCAACCTGATTTGCCATTTGATATTAGGAAATCAATCTTTGCAGGAATCAATTTTCAAACTATCAATCTAGCCAATAATGACAATCAAGCTAACAAAAGAATGTACTAGTTGCATAGCAGTCGTCGCAAGCAAGATTCAATCTCACCAAAGGTAGAAAAATAAATTGTTCAGGTCAATACAAATCAAGGATTGGTTTGCAATGGGCATTCAAATCATGAAAAATGTGTACAAAACATAAACATATGCTTGAGGTTAGCCAAATTTCAAATATATCTACAACCCAGCAGCCAAAATGAACATGTTATGGCTGCAAATATCATTTGTTTTCCAACATAGAATCATGTTATTATTTGGATATGCCATAAGGAAGTAAAATATAAAAGAGAGAAGAAAATATGTAATGCTTAAAAATATGCAACTATTATGTCTACAATGGAATGCTCCGACAACAAAGTAACTTTTAAATCCACTGAAACAATAAACTCTTGGTTTGCAAGCATACAAGTTGCTTAAATAAAATATAGAACGCAAATGTTTCGTGAACACGAGTGCTTCAACTTGCAGTGAAACCCAGTGAATACCTGTCAAAATGTAAATTATGAAAATCTAAATTCATGGTAAAATCTCATCACAAACCATTAATGGCAAACTGACATAAGAAACAGGTAATTCATGGCATGCATTTTTTTAGGTTGATTTTATTGTCCGGAAGGGAAGGTGCAAGGCAATTTGAGGATGAGACATAATGCATGTTATTATGAAGAATTATTAAATACAAATGCCTATCAATAGCTTCCATGAATAATAAGCCTTCTCGATATTCCAAGCATGGTGCATGCACGTAAAGAGATGATAAAAAAATCAAAAGTAGATCTTAAAAATAATTCATAAATGTCAAAAGACAAGAAAAAGGAAAATAAAGGGCAAGAAACAATAGAAGAAAGCATTAGTCATGCTTCTGAAAGAAATTTTTGTACCCATGCATTAACAGAAAAGTGAATAGTCTGCTTATCCAACCGCAGAGAACTTGAGCTCCTGCCTGAAGTTGCAGAAGCTCCTGGTCTTGGTGCTGCATAAAGCTCCCTCGTCAGTCCAAGGAAACAATATCGAGGTCACGAAAGCTAGACAAACATAAGGTAAACATGCACTTTTCCACCTGAACTTTGAGGCCTTGGCTGCACTCTTGTTGGCGTCGATGAAGCTCTAGAAAATACTCTAGCTGATTGGGAAGAACTGGCTGAAGACATCATCTCAACAGAAAAATCCGGGTCCTTCAAAAACATAACGAAAGGAACTTAGACAGCCATATTTAACTGCTCAAGAGTATTTTCAAATATTCCATTGAAACCAACAGGGAACAACTTCAGCTAAACCTTCTCTAAAACCAGCATTAGCTTTCAGTGAAAATCTTTATAAAAACACCAAATGTTGAAACCATCCAATAGAGATAAATTAATCATGAGCATCCCTAGATTACTTCATATGTTCATAATAGTAAGAAAAAGGGATATGTCAAGATATGCTAGTAAGCAAAAGTTTCCAACTGGTTGATACATGATGATAATGAGCAAAACTTCTCAACTCATTGACAAAGAATTTTCAATATAACCAACAGATTCTCGGTTTCGGATATGATTAAAAGTTTATTTCAATTTCATACAACAATTCTCAAAAGCATCCGTGTTTCACAAAAAATACCAGAAAGATTTTAGAAACGCATTAAGATTTAGCAATTGGACAAAATAGAAAAATGGAATATGCTTGTTATCATGAGAACCAAATAACTTGTAAATTTGCTACTTATAAATTATGTAGCACCAAGATGAAGCTAACAAGGTCACATACCAAAGAGTAGCATCAACATTTGCATCATTCATCAAGCGCAACTCTCCATGCAAATCCATTAATGACTCATAATCTCTTTAAAATCAATAGAGAATAAATATGAAGCTTAATTTAAGGTCTCTTGATGGATAGATGAGCAATACCAAATAATGAAATAAAAATTTTTAAAATTTACTTTATTTCAGATCTACTACTTGACTTATTTGGACAATCTAAAATTTTTCATTTATAGGAAGCTTTAAATTTTATTTTTCACTTTTTTTTAATTAAGGCAAGTCATCAATTTATATAATAGTGTTTAATTGACTCCTAAGGCATTTCAAAGTTCTCTGGGATTGAAAAATACTAACAAATAAGATTTTGATTTATATTTTAAATTCGTTTAATAAAATTTACTTTTTTTAATACTACAAATTTCATGTGAAAAGGTTTGGAGATTGGTCTAATTTTAGCTGAAGCTTCGTGGCTGCTCTCCTAGAGCTTCGGTGAATTCTTAATTATCTTTCCTCACCCTTATTCCTTCTCTTTCCCAAAAGAATTCTCATCTCCTCTATATAATCTCAATCATAGCTTCCTTCAAGCCCAAAACATATCAAAGCCTTTCAAAACTCTACCAAATATTCATCTACATCCCTCGTAACCTCAAGACTTGAACTCTCCTATAATTCTAAGATATCCTAGCCAAAAGCCAAATATAAAAAGATAATTTTCTGATATGAGCAACCAAATTAACCACTCCTTAACCACTAATCTAAAATCCATAAAAAAACTAGCATTAGTTCCCTAACATCCTAAATATTTAATCTAAAACTTCTCCCCTTTTCTCCAAGGAAAATTTTCCTATTAATAGCTTAAAAGTTTTAGCACCAAATCTAATGAAAATCTAAATAATTATTTCACCACCGCTTAAATAATCCTAGCAACACCACTCTAAGGGGACACCAATCAAATTGTTATCTTCACTAAAAAAAATCTTATAGATCCTACATCATATAGGTATCAGAGTTAAGAGCTTAAAAGAAATCAAGGCTAAAGAGCTTAAAATTTTCCTATTAATAGCTTAAAAGTTTCAGCACCAAATCTAATGAAAATCTAAATAATTGTTTTTTCACCACCGGTTAAATAATCCTTCCACCACCACTCTAAGGGGACACCAATCAAGTTGCTATCTTCACCAAAAAAAATCTTATAGATCCTACATCATATAGGCATCAGAGTTAAGAGCTTAAAAGAAATCAAGGCTAAAGAGCTTGAAGGCACACGTTGCTCTCACCAAGATATGATTTTTTTCAAGGCTAAAAAATTTGAGGTACCTTTAAAAATAATATTTGTTTTTTCCTCAAAAAAAAATCATTGCTATCCAAAAGCTTTAAGTTTTTTTTATTTGGTAATTTATTCAAAAAAATTAAAATTTGCACATTATTTGACAATTCTATAGAAATTTGTTTTCATAAAAGTTATTATCACCATTAAAAAAAAAAAACTTAACCAAATACTTATGTGAACCTACCATTTCCTCAAATTTTGTGTGATGTTGTAAATAAAAAAGGATGTGTTCCACAAACAAAAGTCTTATAATGAATTAAAATTAAAACAAAATAGCTAAAAATTATATTTATGTGATTATAAGTTTTATGCATTTATTACTATTTGAAAATATTGCTTGCTTTGTGAATTTCATAAAAGAGAAAAAGATTCTTTATTACATGCAATATAATTTATTGGGTTAAACTTTATGTTTTTAAGGCTAAATAGAACTTTGTCAAAAAAACATAAACAATTTAAAGAGAGTTTGAGATATAAGTGGTCTTCTACTACTTGAAAGTTCTCTTAACCTCAATTTTACTTTGATTATACACATATATTCATTTTTCTTCTCATCTAAAGCATTTCCCTCTCATATTTATCTCATTCATTATTTAAAAATAAAAAATAAAAAGTACTACACCCTGCAAATCAACATGTTTTCTAAAACTATCAACTTAGATCAATTTGAAAAAATTTAAAATAATGTGAACAAGTTCATCACATCAAAAAAAGAAAATTGGCTGATATTGATGAAAAGTTGAATGTCTTTTAAAACATAATCCAAACTCTTCAGGATCAACTACAAAACTTGATTGTTATATTCCAAAACTCATATGAGCCTAAATATAGTGGTGATCAATTTTGAAGACTTCCAACACAACTTTACAACCAAGTTGTGTTGACTGTAAAGAGGAGCAATCAAAGAGCATCAGGAGTTCTGTTGGAGATAAAGACCTTGGGATGCTTGGATGTGCAACATATGTTTAGATCAGAGCCATTGGATTAACTTTTAGTCCTTATATAAGGTTTGTCCTCAAAATTAAGGGAGGCATTACTATTTTATCGATATGGTGAGGAGTGTGTGGGATTGTTCGAACCGAACCATCAAAGACCAAGAGCTACTTTGAGAGGGAATCCAGGTGACTTCAACTCTTTGTGATTATGGCCAGGTGGGAGTAAACCTAACTCCTTAAATAATGGCACTTCGTCATGTATTCAAGTTGCAATATTTTATTTACTAGTTTTCTCTACCATGTGATTGTTGCATAAAACGTGTTAATACTTCCGTAATAATTAGAATATTCAAGGGATAATTTAGAAATCTATATTAGTTAAACTCTTATATTATACATTAAATGTGATGATTGTGTGCAAGCTGAGTACCTAGCAGAGATATTACTTTGAGAAAAAACAACGTTCTCTATAGAGCAGCTGTTTTACAGGCGTCAAGCCAACTGAGAAAGATATGATCATGGACTTAATTGAATGGAGTGAACATATTGTGTGCATGTGCTCAACTCAATTGAACTTTTGTCAAACCAACCAAGTTGAAACTTTCTTATTTCCTTTGCACATATTGTTTATATCTGTGTAATACTATTGTCTTTAACGTTTTAGGTATTCTTTTCATTGAGCACACATGCTCGTTGTTTATAACTCAAGGTGAACAGTCAATTCTGGTCTAACAAGCAAAGATGAGTTCAAGGAAGTCCAATCAGTAGGGTTTCAATTGGAGTCGAGTATGGCGTTATTTCTTCAAGAGAATTTTGTGCTTAGCAGTTAAAGTTTGATCTATTTGTAAGGCAATAAAGTTGCGTACTTCATCATTATTCCTGGGATCATCTCATGGAATTGAGAATCCTGAATTTTCATTTCAAAAAATTGTGTTGTTTGGATTCCTTTGTATCTATCTATGTTACAGTTATTCCAGTGATCAAGTAAAAGCAAAAAGTGTACAACTCAGGCTTGGCTAACCAAAAGAACTTGACAAATTGAGGCTAGATAAGCTCTTGACATGGTAATTACATTGGAGTTTAACTCTTGAGAATTTATGCGGTACGAGCCAAACCAAGTGATAACTTTCAAGTTTCCATTAAATCATTCACAAATTAACTTTAGCGGCTCACAGTTGGGTTCATCACAATTTCAAAGATTCAGTTGATTGCTGCCAGGCATATTTACTTCACATTCATGACATAGAACATAATGTAATCTGACACATGGAGAAGTTTATTTTTAAGGAATTTCTTGGCATTTTCTTTGCAGACATACCTAGTCTTCCTCCTGACCAACAAGTGGAATTCACAAAACAAAGTGATGCCAAGAACGACAATGATTTCCAAATTGCCTTACCAATGAAAAGCTACAGGAAATGAAGAGTCAGTTGTATGACTGGTTGAACAATGATTCATTCACCCAGGTACTTCACCTTTAAGAGCACTTGTTCCATTCAAAAAGAATAAGGATGTAGCTGAGTTCATTGGTAGATCCAGGGCATGTCAAGTGGTGAAAGCAGAGAACTCGAAATCAAACAAAATTTTGCAACTTTTGCTCATTCCAACTTGAAATAGAAAGACATCTTGTTGAGTTTGGTGGTCAAATTGGCTAAGTCATCTCAAAGCTGAGATAATATTTGGGCAATCGTAGACAGGCTGGCAAAGAGTGCATAATTTTTGCCTATTCAACAAGCTTTCTTAGTTGACTAGCAGATCAAATTATCTGATGATTCAATTGTGCAACTTCATGGCATGCCTAAGACCATAGTTTCCAATTGAGATAATCATTTCTTATCGAGATTGTGATAGCAAGTAGGAGAAGCTCTGGTAACCAACTTTATTTTAACATTAATCCTCACCTTCAGACTAACGAGCCAATATTATAGTATAATACAAAATCTAGAAGATCTAAACAATAAGTGTGTTCTTAATTTCAGAGGATATACGAAGTGGTATCTTTGATAGAATTAACCTACAATAACAGTTATACGTTGAGCATTGGAATAACGCTATTTTATGCATTATACAAGCAAAAGTGCAAATCACCTCGAAGATAGACTGAGATAGGACAGTCAGCATTTCAAAGACTTTGGTTGTCAACAAAATTACTAAGAAGAATGAGGTGATTTGGGAATAAGTAATTGTAACGCAGAATTGATAGAAGAAACATCATGACAGGAGGCACAAAAGATACATTTTGACATGGGTAACCCTGTTTTCCTCAAAGTGAGCCATGGAAGGCAATAAAATGATATAGATAGCTCAAGAAGCTTAAGCCACATTAATTGGGTCATTCGAAATATCATCTCAGATAAGACCACTCACTTTTAGATTGATTCTACCTCCTCAACTAATTGGAGTGCATAATATATGCAAAGTGTCTACTCTGAAGAGATATGTACTAAAGCCTATAAATGCAATTCAATATAACCACAAAGAGATGCATGTGCAACCTTAATTAGGCCATGAAGTTATACTCGAGCAAATATTGTCATGCTATCAATATCCATTCCGGAGGCTTGAATTAACAAGGCCTGAATGAACAGTCAGGAGCTTATTTAAAATTTCTAACAATATTGCCATGCTATCAAGATCCATTCCGGAGGCATGAATTAACGAGACCAGAATGAACAGCCAAGAGCTTATTTAAAATTTCTAAAAATTATTTCCAATTTACTCAAAAAGCCACTCAAACTCCAAATATATTTTAAGGAAAAATAATATGATTGTTTTAAAAAAATATATCTATCTCTCCGAGTGTCACGCCTACACTATATGTTCTCTCCTCTTCTATTCATTTCAATTCTTCGAATAATACATGTATGCATTTGCAAATAGTAGGGTAGGGTGAGTCATAACACAACTCAGTAAGCATATAATACTTCTAAATTATAGTAACACTATGGTTTTTGAAACAATATGCATACTTGTTATAAAATAATAACTCTATTTAAAATTAATTTTTTAATGACCATAAATAATATACTATGCACATATCAAGTCTTCTAATTTTTTTATAATTAATATAACCATCACATGAAATGCCACTAAAATAGTACCAATTAATGTACTTCAATTTTCATTTCTACTTAAAATTTTGAGGAAGAAATTTTTGCAAATGGAGGAGTGTAATGACTGAACACTTCTAATTTTGTGAATTTCGACTCTAATTTTGATTGAGGATGTTTATTTATTCATTAAACCAATGTGTTGACTTGAAAATGTTTATTTATTCATTAAACCAATGTTTTGACTCAAAATTAACTTAGTTGAACCAATTTTGAACCAAATAGGCAAATACTATATGGTCAAGCAATTCGATGTGTAACAAAGTATTATGGTGAGTTTCCAAGGGACGTAGTAGGATATCTAGTTGTTAATAATACTCAGTGGTTGGGTAGTTAAGCCTGTGACATTTGATAATCCAAGTAGTCAACTTGCCCGATAAGTCGAATACTTGTTGAAAGGATTAGAGTTGAGTTGTTCCTGGGCAATTAGCTTTGTCGAATTATTTTGGCAGGTGTAGAGTCTAACAGTAGTCTCCACTATGAGAATAAGCCTTCCAACAGTCTATTATTATTGGTATCTTATGCAAACCTCCCACATCCCATCAATATCAGGTCAACTGACACCATTGTCATTATTTAGCAAGGCTAATCCAGTTGTCTTCCTTGCCCTTTGCATCTCATTTGGAAGCTATAAAGACACCTATCATCACCTCTTTTATCAATGGCTGCCACCCTACCCTTCCATAGTTGTGGCCATGAATGTGGTCTCCGCCATCTTCAATGGTTGCAGGAAAAGATCAATTGAGGGACCTACTATAAATTTAGTTTTAGAAGAAAGGAATCAACTAAAGAAGAATATAGTGCAACACGGCCTATGCTAAACAACCCACTTAGTAATTTCACAGGTGATAATTCAGCCATAAAAAATAGCAACAAAAGTAAATGATTTCCTAGAATGATAAAGGATTTCAAAAAATAGAGGGGTCAAAACAAAAAGGACTAGGGGCAATTTACTCTAAGACAATATGATATGTTATATGATCTTATACAAGTTGTATTACAACTGATTTGCAATATGAATATGACAAGCCTGTTTATGTGAGAGTTTGTAGTTTTTTTTTTGTTTTTGTTTTTGCGCTCATATCTTACCTTTGCATGGACAGATGTTTTATTTGCAACTATAGAAGCTCGCCTTTGTATGATTCATGCATGTAATCTATCCATCAATCAATTAAAATATATACCCAACCCATTAATGCATCAATATCATAGTTTTTTTCTCTGAGTAGTATAATACCAATTTCATTCAAACATGTCGACTAATTGTTCTCATGTTTATAAGCCAAATTATGGGGTTGCTTGGCCAAAAGTTTTAATAGTGAAATGCAACTTCTTTTCCAACATTCAAACTTCTTTGGTGTTTCGTTTAAAGCAAAAAAATATGAAGCAATTTTTTTAGAGATTTGAAATACCTCAAAATCCTTATTTTCCATGTATTTAAAAATAGCCCAAATAGGGTGATTTTCACATCTTATGTTACGGCCACTCGCGATTCCGATTTACCACCACCCACCATCATTCATCGACACCTACCATCACTCATCACTCGTTGTTGATTGCTACCACTCATCACCGCCACCCACCACTTTATATAATCGTCAATATAGACATCTTTTAGCCTCAACCACCATATGTTTCCCACCCCATTGACGCCTTGCTACCCCCAAACCACCATCTGCCACCACCCCAACCACCGCCCATCGCATTTCAATGTGATTTCAATGCTATTGAAATGTGTCATATATATATATATTTATATATACTATATTATAATATATATATTATATATATATATACTATTTCTAAACGCATAATGATCTGTGTCAAAGCCATAAGCATATAAGGTTTTATTTCATTCACCAAACAAGACAAGTGTGAAGCGACAAAAGACTCAAATCGATGGATTCTGCTTAACTTGCTATTTCCAGCAAAGTCAGTTGAATGCAAAATAAGAAGAAAGCCAATCCAAACATATGAAATTCAAACAATCGTTTATAGAATATGCTAGGATTCATCTGCTGTTTATTAGCTCGAAGTACGGCTAGGCAAGTGGTTTCTTGGAAGCTATGCTTGGAAGAGACTAAATTAAATAATTAAATAAAATTTTTTAAAGATAACAAAAAGATCAGAGGATAAATTGCCAGACAAGCAAGACGAGAAATAAAAAAGATATCTGTGTCAGTACAAGGTGTGTTCATCCAAATTGAAAACGATAGGTTCCGCACAATAAAAAGGGTTTTGCGGTTTGAGGGGAAGCATACGATGAATCGCTGGTAGAACTTCTGCTTGTAGTGGTCAACAACATCGGATCGGGAAGCCATGTGGGGTGGGATCAGCACGTTCGACCAATAGTCCGCCCACCGCGGGTCACCTTCGTAGTCATACGCCGCCGCAGCCGCCCTCTTCGCCCTCTGCGAATCTCCTCCACCGTCGTCATCAGCCATAGCGACCGATCGTCTCTCCCTCTCTCAGATAAAAAATTATCTTTCTCAATCTCTCAGGCACACTTACCAAATCTCCCTCTTTTCTATGGCAGAAGCCGAAGTTAGAAGCAATTTGAGAAAAGAAATATCATTATAATTTCTTCTCATCCGATAATTCTCGAGTAACTTTCTCCATTATTTTTTAAGTTATTTATATACAAATATACATATAAAAAAATTATATAGTTCTATACTTTTATATATAATAATTAAATTTTATATTTATTCATATAATATTAAAATCAGTTATAAAATATCATTAATATTAATTTATTTCAAATTAAATATATTTTAATACATACATTTTGTAATATAATTTAAATATTATAATAATATAAAATTTAAATATTAGATATATATGTAAAAAAATTGTAATATGAATATAAAATTAAAAAAATTAATAATCACATAAATATATAACAGTGATCCTGATAAAAATAAATGTATTAAATATTATTCTTATTAGATAACTCACTCAATAATCATATTTTTTTCTAGTTTGAGAGAGAGATCTGTGTGAGCTAATGAATTATCAAATTCTTGAAAAATTATTCCATCATATCTTAGGTCTGGAAGGTGATACACCCCTGCAATAAGGACGCGATGAAAGGATAGAAAGATTTATTTTGTTTTAATATATATAACAAGGTAAATAAAGGAAGTGAATTATAAAGTTAATTCATTAATGAAATGCAAATAACTAGTACATCTAAATAATAATAGTTTTGATACAAGCCAAAAGGAATGTACATAGAATAGAAAGTAGGAAAGAAACTACCCAACCCTTACTTAGAAGCAAAATAAACTACTACAGAAAAATACCAAAAATAGATTACAGCTAATAACTTTGCTTCTGAGGTGATTGTTCGCCAAACACACCTGTCGGACTTGTTGTAAAAAGACACAAAGGGTGAGTTTGATAAATCAAACTCAACAAGTAACTCCTATCTATTAAAGCATAAATGATAACATAATAGAGCATGTAGTATGAACAATCAAAAGGTAGAAGCAACAACCTATAATCACCAAAATAAAGTAGCATTGACACATGTCATATTTCCAACAACAAAACTCTAATATGCTAATGCTATTAATGCATATGTCTAACCTAGGCATGATGTATCAGTTATTTATTGTTTTCAATCCATGTTTAATATTTACAACCATCATCCATGTTTAATAAACGAGGAGACAGGTGGGCCATGTGGAGAGGCGGATGGAGGATAGGCAAATGGGAAGGATGGGCGGACTCGTCAGAGTGGCAAACATACATGAAGGCTGCGGGACAGCAGGGCCGTGCGGAGAGGCATACGGTGGACTGGCAAACAAGCAGGACGGGTGAACTCACCGGTGGCAAACAAGTTGGATGGCGGCTAGACGGTTGGGTCGTGCATAGAGGCGAACAGCGAGGTCGCAGGAGAGGTGGACGTCGAACCGAGCGCCGGTGGTGGGGCAGGGTTGGTGGCGCGGTATGAACCGTGCAAAGCTAGCCTATGGCCTATGGGAAGCGGCCCAAGCAGCAAGCGGGATTTCGTTTACAGCGGAGTTCTAGTCAGGTCGGTTCCGGGTCATTCTTGAGTTTCCGAGTCAATCCGAGCCTGAACCGATTTTTGAAAAGTGTCAGTTTGTTGAACCAAAACCTGAACCTATTTGACATATAGGTTGACTATAACCCGGAATTTTTGGATCGTTTTCGGATCAAATTTTTGAGTCGTTGTCAAATATTGACACTCCTACTCATACTCCTTTTTTTATAAAGTACAATATCTCACTCTTCTACATTTCAGATTTAATTACACTTGCAAACATCCTAAATAATTTAAGAAATTATTCACATTTTTCTCAATTATTGCATATACAAACAATGACAATATCTTGAGGATGAGGTGAGGAAGATGGAGAGGACTCTCAACATTCTACATTTTCCAACCTTTGAGCCCAACCCACAATGGCTCCAATGGCCTCCAACCCACCTAATTGTATCTCCTCAAGGTTCTCCAAGGATCCACCCTCCCCCCAAAAGCTCCCAAACCAAAACACTCCATGACCCAACAGCACCTCCCAAACCTCTTCACCCCCTAAAGCTGTAACTACAGGAGCTCCGCCTCCTCCATCTACACCAAACTCCATCTTCCTCACCTCATTTGTTTCCAACTTCCTTCTCTTAATCTTCCTCGCCATCACCAACCTCTTCGACTTCGCCGCGAGCCTCTGTGGGAGCCTGAACAAGATGAAGATGCCAAGCTGCAGTAGAAGGCATGGGCAGCAACAGGAGAGCACGACGCAGTCGGCGGCCAAGTTGTTGCATTCTTCCATGCTGAAATCTGTCAGATAATGGAAGGGGAATAAAGAAGAAACTGAATATGCAAAGATATTGCTTGTTTAAACAACTATGGTGTTGAGATTAAACGAGGAATATTAATTTGATTGCTTGGTGGAAGTGATTTGAGGGAGGTTGGGAACACGGCTTTTGCATATGTTGCTTCTCTTGAGCCTTGGAGCCAACCTGGCATAATCTAAGCGTGATCTTATGTTTATTTGTATCTTTACGAAAGAGGGAAAGCAGAGAGGGTAATTTGCATAAGCTTACATTATTGAAAAAATTATTATCTAGGAACACCAAATGCCGTCTGGAGATCAACCAGAATGCGTCATCTCGCCCTTTTGCTCGGTAGCGCAGCTCGATACTGCTAATGTGGCTGCACCTGATTCACCTCCGGACGTAAAGCTGCGTCTGACGTCCGCACACAATAATTTCTCACATTGTTGGGTCTTGCGATGAAAATATAAATAGTTTACGGTTTTCATTAAAAGGGAGTAATAGTTCATAATAAAAATAATTTAAATTCTCTTAGATTTTAATCTGTTCAAATGGATAAATAATTATGTGCGGAGTCCGAACGTAGCTCACGTCTGAACTTCAATGTGTGCAAGCCACATGGCTTGATTTCATTGGAGTCGGGACACGTTCAGACTCAGCACGTAATAATTTTTCCTCCAAATAAGGACAACAAACTTAGTTTTAGAAAGAAGATTGGAGCTTCACTGCAAAGATTGGGAGCCTCACATCACTTCTTGGATCAAATTCTTTTAAATGAGAATAGCCAACCACATCTTTAAGGGGATTAATTATTTTGTGTGCATGCCAAAGGCCTTCCGGAGACCAACCATAATCTGCCACGTCACTCATGTGCTCGGTACTGCGACTCAGTACTGCTCGATACCGCGGCTCGATACCTCTGACATGGCACATTCTGATTTGTCTCCGAACCATGTTCTGTGTCCGATCTCCGCACATAATAATTTCTTCTTTAAGAAAGGATCAGTGTCAAGCCTAAGTCATTATTGAATGGGAGAGATAACTTTTTAAGTTTTTCTTTATTTTGGAAAACTTCTTAAATTTTAAAAGAAAAAAATAATAAATAATCTAATTTTTTTAAGAATTAATAAAAACAATTAAATAAGAAATTTTTTTAAAAAATAAAAAACTATAACGGTAATAGTGCTTATAGCAAAAGTGGCATAGCACACGACTATTTGGGCCTATTTTTAGGCCTAAACAAGCCTTTGTGAATCCCCAGATTTTTATTTCAATATTTCATACTTATTTGACCCTCATGGATCTCAACTAAGTTTCCATAAGCACCTAAGAGTAATTTTTTATAGTTTTTCAGCTTTATTTTTCAAAGCATAAAGAAAATTTTGAGTCAGCATTCTATCTCATCAGTAAAAATTGTTTCATAAAGAAATAAGAAAGCTTTCCCAAACAAAAAAAAATTGATACCAAAAGATAATCACAGATACATTGGGTGTGGGGAATCCTGAAAACATTCCCAGTCATACATCAAAGAATAGCTACAAAAGCCAAAAGAAGAAGTAACAAATAAAAGGGCTATATCACAAAAAAAAATAGAAAAAATTATTCTACTCACTACAAATCTCTATCAATCATCAAGCTTGAACGAGTAAAATCAGAGCTATAGTTCTGGTTACCAAATGCCATTCTTTGAAACATCCTGATCTCCTCAGAATGTGGCCCTGTATTAAATAGTTCGCTTCGGCCGGGTTGGACGCCATTGCTCAAGTCAATGTCAGCTGACATATCAAGAGCCCTCGCAACCTAAGAAATCATGAAAAATACATTATAAGAATGATGAAAAGTATCTACTTATGATCATAGGCTTATCTGACTATGGAAATGCAGAAGCTACCAGGCTCATTCGAGGTCTCATTGATCCCGAATGGCGAACGCAAGCCGCTGCGGCCTCGATCATTCGGAACATCTCCTTCATATTGTAGTTCTTCTCAAGCCTGGAATCTGGCAGAGCTCCAAAATCGCCAGATTCAAGGGCGTTTGAGAGTAGAGGACGAGCCTGGATGGTGACAGGAGGAACCAGTCAGGTTCTTATATGGCTTATCATAGTAAATAAATGAGACCTCAAATCTGCAATGCACATAAGTTTCAAAAAACAACTTGCATTTGAATATATCCTTCCTTATTTTTTCAATAAAAAGTTCCTTGAATGTAATGGGCACATGCGGGTTGGCCAGGAGGCTTCATCAAAATTCTAGACTTTGTTGGACTTTTCCAAAATAGTATTGAAGCGTCTAGAACCTTCTAGAAGATTCTCAAAGCAGACCAGAAGCTTCCGTGTGTCCAGAGATTCCATAAGTTAGGAATCAGATTTAAAAACCAATTTCTTAAAGGGTGTAGGCTAAGATTCAAGGGAGAGTTTTCAAATTGAGGAACCCAATGTGAATGTCAAAACTAAAAAATTGAAAAAACCTTCCCTGGAATCATATGATAGTTCACTTGATTGACCAAAAACCTTCATCAGGTAGATATTATGTTTTTTTTTTTTTGAAGTAATGAAGAAGATTTAAAAGAAATTATGCAGATTTTTTTAAAGTATTTGGATGAAAATCTCCCTTTGAGAAGATTTACAAGCCCTAATATCATCATCTTCTTCTTCCCTCAATTAATCAAGTAAACTCTAATTTCAATTACTACAAAGCTTTATAATTGAAGGATACTTGGCCCTAGCCATCATCTAGCATGTGCACGGTTCTATGCACATCCCCATGCCTCTATTTTCCATTTCGCGCTCGTGATGTCCTAGTTGCATGAGCAGCTCTTCATTGCGTTCTCGCCGAGCACTTATTTCATGCGCCCTAATGATTCTCATGTGTGCCCACAACTGCAATGATTCCTGAGGCTCCTCCTCTTGTAGCCTCTCCGATGATTTATGTACCTCCAAATACACAACCTACATGCTCATTTGCATATGTTGTTCTCGAAAGTATTTGCATATCTTGTTTCTTGTAACAATGTTACTAGCTCACAAACCCTCTCCATCCAACAACTTTCCACTATTTTTTCAACAAGATTCAGCATCTCTACAACAAAAATAGCCCTCATCCTATGAAGGCGAGCTCGCTATCTTCTTCACCAATGAGGAGATAGATGTGCTTGCTAAACCACTCGCCCTCTTAATTATTGGAGAATTTTCTATGGGTTGTCCTAATAAAGAGATAATTTGTAAACTCATGTCTAATTTACATCTGATTAGTGACAACTCTATTGGACTCATTGACAATCGGCATATCATTATCAGTCTTTCATCGATTTCACTTGTCGTGAAGTTCATAGATTTCATTTTCCTTTAAGAACAATCTTCGGTGTTTCTAGATCCGTCAATGTTATTTTGCCACCATGCACCTCCAATATGGGTGAGTTTACTCAGCACATTCACCCATTTGCATCTCACATCATTGAAGATCGTAGATTGCAAGCTCCATCTACATCTTCCAAGCTAATTCCAGCAAATTTCTCTATTGAGTTCTCACCTCATCTTCTATTCACCTATTTGCACAAAACCCAAAAGTTTCCAACCTCTTCTCCTTTTTGCAAATTGCAAACTTTTATTTCTATGAGATCTCAGATCTTCTTGGCCATTACACAGATGATATACCAAGATCATCTTCTCTCGATTCAACTATTTTAGTTTAATGGAGGCTGAAAATTATTTGATTGAATATTATTCTACAAGAATCAAAGATTTAGATGAAAAGTTAGTATCTAACTTTACTGTCTTGAAAGAAATTATTCTAAGATTAAAGAACATCGAAAAATGTATTCGTTGCTTATTGACAACACCAGTGGTATCACAGCCGCTTTTCAGTTGTAGTTACAAATGATTCCAATGCTACAAGTAACTATAATCTCAAGAAATCAATGGATTATAAATCATATTCAAATGACTAGAAGGAAATAATACACAGAATTTGTGATATGATAAAGCTAACACACACTGAAACTTTCTGAGTTATTCTCAACACATGCAAGCCCTGGAGTTGTGCTATGTAAATATCATGAAGATACTAACGAAAGTTTTTTCTTGAGTTCCAAAAGATTTCATTTATCCTTTGACCAACCTATCATGTAAGGAACATGTGATGAGCTAATAGCTACCGAAAAAAGATTTGATTAATGAAGCAAAATATAACATAAAATCATGGTTGAATACATGGTTGCCATATCCATTAGATCAACTTCAAGAATTTGACCTTGAGGAAAGGTCATTATTGGAGGGGAAGAAATGGTGTGAATCCACTTATAATTAGTTTAGCAATTAACAATGGATTAATTAAGAGGCAATATGAGGGTGTGTTTTCTCTTTTTTATCTTTGTTTATCTTTGCTTCTTATTTTGCGAGTTTGAATAGCTCGAAATGTTCAAGATAAGATCAAGATCTCATCAAATAACCTCAATAATATTCACATAACCTTTCTTGTTTATTTAGTATGTAATTCTTGATAACACAGAAGCTCTTCATCATATTATTATGTTATTCCATTTGAGTGCATTATCCATATTTAATAAGTAAACAAGCATACGTCTACTCTTATATTATAGATGAATAACTTTAAAAGGGAAGAATGAAGATAAAATCAAGATCGAAGAAACTTCGATCTAAACTTTTTAGAGATGGTGTAGAAAGTTCAAACAGGTATTGTATTAGCATAACTAAAGCAAGGAAGCTAACAAATCCACAACAACATCAAGCCATTGTCCCACTACGCGGGGTTGGTTACATGAATCTTTTTTCTTTATTGTGTCATGCTAAAAGTCAAATTCTCGTTTAAATCTAATAAAGAAATATCATTTCTAATATTTTCGAACCAAGTCTTTTTAGGTCTATTTCTACCTTTCTTAACATAAGTCAAATCTAACACCTCAACTTTCCTAACCGGGTCATCGGAAAGCCTCCGTTTCATATGACCAAACCATCTAAGGCGATTCTCTCTAATCTTATCTTCCACTTGGAGCTACTCCAACCTTTTCACATATATGCTCATTTCATATCCTATATTTAAGGGTAAAGCCACTCATCTACTTGAGCATCCTCATCTCTGCAAAAATTAACTTAGTATTATGCTTCTCTTTTAATCGCCAACATTCGGCACCATAAAGCATTGCAGGTAATCACCACCACCTTATAAAATTTTTCCTTAAGTTTGAGGGGGACTTTTTTATCACACAACAAGCCAGATGCATTCCTCCACTTCAACCATCCAACTTGAATTCTGCTGATAATATCCCCATCTATTTCACCATCACTCTGAACAGTAGATCCAAGATATCTAAAACGTGTACTCTTATTAATGACTTGATCGCCCAAAGTCATAATCCCCTCACAAAGTCTATTGCTACTAAAATTACACTCCATATATTCAATTTTAGAAGCAAACATATAAATCCCAAAATTTTGAATAGCATTAAATTCAAACTAACGTACTGCTTAACAAAAAGCTATGCATGGAAGACTCTGAGAATGACTTAAAGGACATTAACCTTGTATAAAACTGAAAAACATAAGCATCATGACTCAACGCCAACAAAACTGTGCAAAGCAAAGAGCCCCAAACTCATCTATAAAAACGTTTCTTTTCCCAGGAATAGTACAACTCAAGCATCCATATTGTCAAACAGATTAGGCACAATCCACCCATTTCATGTCTATCACTGCATTTTTTTCTATCATTATGAAATGATTCTTAAACTCATTTTGTTGCTTGTAAATAGAAAATATATTTTAGAAAATGCTAATTGTGCATTTGAAAATAAAATCATCACTTTTGAGGGAGTTTCATGAAGGCTTAAGGAGTTAATGTAAATGAGTAAATCACACCAACTATTGAATTTAACGAACTTATAGCTTTTCAAAACAAAATTTCTGACTTCAAGCAACCAAATGAGGCTTTAAAATGGAATATTAATAGATATCGGAAGGAATTATCTCCCAACTATGAAATTTGTCAGTATGGCCAGAATAAAACTGCAGCTGTTGGAGAAAGATCAAAACAAACAAGAAATATATGGCATGCACAAAAAATTAAAAATCTATGGCCATGAATATACCCATTCAACAAGGCTTTCATCTCCCAGAGGCTGGGAAGAATCAACAGGCTTCCTTCCAGTAATGAGCTCCAAAAGGACAACTCCAAAGGAGAAAACATCAGATTTCTCAGTTAGCTTGCCAGTTGATGCATACTCTGGAGCTAAGTACCTGGAAAGGCCAAAAGTGCAGATATAAGTTTTGAAATCAAAAGCACTATAATAATTTGAATAGATGCCGGGGGTGGGGATCCTGTTGAAAAAAGTAAATGGCAAAGGAAAGATTCAAAGATTGGAGCTAAAGTTTCATGCATTATACATGTCTCTTATCAAAATATTTGATATGGCAGGTCATCCAAAAACTTGTAAACTATAATTAGTTTAAGAAGCTATGAGCAATTACTATTTCAATTTTCAACATAATCAATTGTCCAACGCCCAACACCAAAACATGATTATAAAAACATTAAAACAAGAAAAAGATAATTTTTTGGAATGAATTAGTCAACTCCTTGGTACGTTTAGCTAGTGGCATCAAATATACGCCAGGAGACTGAGAAAGCTCAGAGCTTACAATCATTTTTTAAATAAGTTTGTTGTAACTGTGGATTATTGACTAACATTGGGATGTCAACAATATTAAAACTCTATGATTGTAAAAACAAGCATGAGGTTTCTAGATATGCATTACAAAAATGTGGATTTTACCCAAAAAATCATTATTAGCTTCGCATGATTTCAAGCAAAGTGGGAGGAGGGTATTTGATAGTTAGAAGGTAAACATCAAACGCATTAAAAACGTTCTTGAAGAGCTTCCATTTGAAGCGCAAAAATCTGGTTTGAAGGCGAGCTTTTTAAAAAATGGGTGCATATATATCCGAATTTAACGATTCAGCTTTAAAATTTGAAAAATCATCCACATAGATAAACAAACATTTAAATTATTTGAATTTAAAATTAGATTTATGGTTGCTCACATGAATAAGGATTAATTATTTAATCCCGCATCTTATAGATGGATTTAGAACCTAACTCAAAACACTGTACAGAATGCATTTAAAGAAAAAAGAAAAAAAAATTTCCCTCTTTGGCGAGTTGTCTGAGATCTTTAAGTATTTAGAGGAGAGATTTGTGCGGGTGATTCTATTAGCCTGCCTAAGAAAAAAAATTTAAGAACTGTGCTACAGGAAAAGCAAGGTTCCCTAGCAAGGATAGAGGATATTCGCAGCAATGTTTAAAATTTTCCCAACAAAACTAAGATAAAATTTAAGATCCCAACAATTCGGATACTTACCCAAATGTTCCCATCACTCTTGTGGTTACATGTGTGCAAGCATCCATGGCAAGCCTTGCTAAACCAAAATCAGAAACCTGATGCATAAGAAGGTAGATAAAACATTTAGAATATGAAGATACAAGCTTCCAAAATTAATTCCTAAATCCTAAAATTCCAGCTCATATAAAGTTGACAACCTGAGCTTCAAAATTGTTGTCTATGAGAATGTTCGACGATTTTATATCTCGGTGAATAATCCTGGGATGACCTGATAAAATAGGCAAAACACAATAGGAATAAACCTACAATCCAACGCCACAGCAGAGAAAAAAGAGGATTAGTTGAGTTTAATTACAATCCTCATGCAAGTATGCAATTCCACGAGCTGCACCGGCTGCAACCTTAACCCGGACAGTCCAGTCCATAACCAGTTTTCCTTGCCCTAAAAAATTGGTTAAGTAAATTAACAGAAAAACAATTTGGGTAGACAAACATGAAAACAAGTAATATCATGCCCTTAAAAAAGTTTTATCTTACCATGAAGATGATAATGAAGTGTATCGTTAGGCACAAAGTCATAGACTAGCAATCTTTGATTTTCAGCTATACAGTACCCTACTAAGGAAACCAAATGCCGATGATGAACACGGCTAATTATTTCAACTTCTGCTCTGAACTCTCGCTCTCCCTGAGAGCCGCCGACTTTGAGTTGCTTCACTGCAACATCTCTACCATCAGGTAAGCAACCTTTGTATACACAACCAAAACCACCTTCACCCAATAGATTCTGCTCTGAAAAACCATTTGTTATTTTGTGCAACTCTTCAAAGGAAAACCATGACTTTGAATTGCCTAAACTATGCTCATGCATTGAGTTCAAGGAACCCGGAGATCCTCCATGAGTTCCGAAGCTGTGATAGCCAAGAGGAGCTGAAGGGGACCGTTGGTACGATGACTCTGCTGTATTCAAATAGTCAGATCAATCATATTGGCAAGATGTGAAACAAGTCTATCTAGAAAAGTTCTATTATAAAAATATTTAACCTTGTAACATAGAATGCTTAAGTGAAGATAAAAATTGTGCTTTCAGATTTACCTGAAAATTGTGAAGATGGAGAGGGCATGACAAAACCAGCAGCATATCCGCTAGACTTCTTCTTACGCTTATTCATGAACCATACTGAAACTCCTATTAAACTGAGTACAACCAATGCCGATACTACAGCAATAGGCACAATCACCCCAGTATTGCTTCCACCTCCAACAGCTCTGCCATTTCCAGAGCCTATATTATCATTTGCTGATGGTGTACTTGATCTCCCAGGACTAACAGGAGTAGCCGGTGAGCCAGGCAAATTTGGGGAGGGGGAGCTTGGAGAATTGCTGGGAGGGGTTGGAAAACTCAAAGGTGGAGAGGGTGGTGTGGGCTGATTGATGGATGGTACTTGACTGGAGGAATTGCTTGGAGGAGGGGAGGGTGGAGAAGGGGCTGTCGGTGGTTGATCTTTTGGTGGTGGTGCTGATGGATTGGGATTAGAAGGGGAGGGTGGAGAAGGGGCTGTTGGTGGTTGATCTTTTGGTGGTGGTGCTGATGGATTGGGATTAGAAGGTGGAGAGGGAGACCTAGAAGGAGGGGGGTCTTGTGGAGATGGTTGTAAAGGTGAAGGTGGTGGTTTGGTGGAAGGTGATGAGGGAGCTAAACCTCCAGGTGGTGTAGAAGATGGAGGTGGTGGTGGCTGAGCCTGAGAAGGCAATGGAGGCGGTACTGCAGCTACAGGTGGTGGGGGCTGAGAAGATGGGGGAGGGATCACTGTAGAGGGTGGAGGGGAAATTGATGCAGGGGGCGGTGCAGTTGGAGTCGGCTGGGATGGGGAAGCTGGTGGCGGAGCAGGGTTGCTCGACGGCGGGGGCGAAGATACCGCTGGTGGCGGCGGTGAAGAACTAGGAAGGGGTGGGGGAGGGCTAGAAGTAGGAGGAGGAGTAGCAACCAAAACTGGCGGTGGAGAAGATGTAGGAGGATCGGATGAGGCACTGGGTTGGGAGTCGGTTCCTGGAGCTGGAGGTGGCGGGGAAAGGGATGGCTGCGATGGTGAAGCACCTGCTGAAGTGGGTGGAATTGCCGAAGATGAAGGAGGGGAGGCAGCCATTGTACCTAGCTTGAGTACCTCCTCTCTCTCAACACAAACTAAGCAATATCATATCTTTCATGGCGAAGCACAAGCGAAGATTACACTCATCACCAAGCCTCTTCTTTCCCTCATTTCCACAGAAATCCCCAACAAGCAAAAACCCCCAAAATCTCCAGCTTCTATTCGCCAGAGATCAAAAACTCCAGCAAATCATTTCTTAACAGAAAAAAAGGATCTAAATAAGTCAAAATCCAAAATTCCCCAGCCGCACGGAAGCTTTCTCGCTCAGAACACCACTCAACCAAACCAAATCTGCAACCATGCCAAAACAGAACGGAAAGAGATCAAATTCACCGCAAGTCAATATACAAACAGTTTACGAGCAATAAAAGAACTCATTTTGCATCCATAACCCCAAATCACCCAACCATTCCTTCCTTCTACCAACAGTTCAAAATTTTGTTGAACCAACTCATCAAGATCTAACCTTTTTTTCCTAGATTTCCGACCAAAACCGCTGAACCTCGTATATCCCAGATACCCAAAGTATAGAAGTCGACTATCAAACTTTCCAGGAAGAATGCCGCGCAGCGCGAGTGCAACGCCACTAACTGGAAAAATCCAGCATTCTTTTGAAAAAAGCAATTAAAAAACTTGCAAATTGAGGATACCGACCCTACCTGCTCTATCCTTGCCCTCCTCTGCTTCAGCTTTTGCGTTCACAACAACGTGACGGCGACTTCAGAATGCCTGTCGTCTGCTCCCGCGTTGGAGAGAGAGTTTTGTTCCGAGTAGCTAGCGAACTAATTAGACTACTCCACCAATTTTGAACAATTGAACGGGGAATTAGTCAAATTGAAAACTTTTGCTTGTTCTTATTTCCATGACGTATGATGCAGAAGGAAAGATGATTTACCTGAGGTGAGCGTACCTCTTCAATCGCCTCGCCGCTCTGCTCCATCTCCCTGATCATTTTACCTTTTGCTTATTATATTCAAGGCCAAGAAAAAAAAATATGGGGTACGTTACTATAAGGCTAAAGGTCATCTCCATTTTTTTTTTCAGTAGTTATGAGCGTCCAATTGAAGTATAAATCGAATGTTATTTTTTAGTTTTTTTTATTTATATTGATATAGTATTGCTCAGCTAAGAGAAAATATAAAATATATTTTTGTTTGATGAAGACTCATGACAACTGCAAAAGAAATTATTTCGTGCGAAAATCGGACGGGAAAGAATCATCTAGACTGTTAGTATACTCATTGTGTATATAAATTGTACATTGTATTTGTAAACAATGTGTATGAACAATTATTACGTCCTCTGATCGGACTTAGAGCTACGTTCGGCCGCCAATAACATGTCGCCACGTGCTCTTACTCTTTACCGCGCGGCCCGACGACTTGTAACTTCTATTTTGTAAAAGCTTTTTATGTTTTTTTATATGGAATAATAGAGATAATTATAAATTAAATTTAATAAGATAAAATATTAAATTATAAAATATTCAAACCTACCTCGCTGCTCCTAAGAAAATTATGTATTCTAAAAGTTTGTTTGCCATTATTTTTTAGTTTATTAAACAAATTTTATCATATCTTATATTTTTAAAATAATCAAATTATGTTTTAAAAATAATTGCTACTGATGAGTGGATTATGATTTACATGACGATTAAGAATTTATTGCGAAAAAGTCAACTACTAATTTAAATTTTTATTGATTTTATTCAACACCTTTAAATTTTTTTTAAAAAATCTACTATTATTTAAGAGAATATTTGGATTCATTATTTCATTAAAACATACTTTTTCTGCACTTTAATTTGGTTTCACAAATAGAAAGATAGATTGTCAATGAATAAATTTCTTTTTTAATCTCTTTAGGTAATTAGAAAAGTCTATCAATTTAACTAATTTACTATATTACTATGTAAAATAACTTAAAAGATTGCAATAAAGTTTCGTTTGGGAGAGCTTTCTTACTGCTTTATAAAGTAGCTTTCAAATACGTACAAAAAATTCTCTATCAGAAATTTTTTTTTGATTAAAAACAGCTTTAGGAAGTAGTAAGAAAGTTATCCCAAACGAAACTTAAGGCTTCGTTTGGGACAGAATTCTTACTTCTTTTTAAATTAGCTTTCTAGTACAAGAATTTTTTAAAATTAAAATTTTGTTCTAAAAAATTATTTAAAAAAATAAATAAAAATGTTGTCCTAAACGAACCCTGAGTTTAATTTTCAATAAACTATAAGTCCTTATTGAGTATTGTCCGGGCCCGACTCCTATTTTCGGACGTCAAAGCTCCAGGAGTCTGGAAATAAGTATATTCCTAATATCAACTAATGCCACACCAGATCTGAAAGTTGTATACCACGACAACACCGGATGTGATGAAGAGATTTACCTCAAGCCTTGAAATAAACATAAATGTTTAAAATTAATTCAAATAAATTATATATTCATAAAAGAAAACTTCACATACAAGTAATATAAACAATAAGAGAAAGGAAAATAAAATATTATTTCATTAGATTAATATAATCCATAATAAGATTACATAGATGATGGAGGAACAACGACAAATATAGAAGAAAATAATAGCAACAACTATGTAAGCAAACTACCCAAACCCAATAAAAATATAAATAGAGATCATATTTTTGAAAAATATAGTCATGTGGTAATAGTCCATCAAACACCCAATAAAAACTGTGAGATAAATTTACAACGAATTAATTTGATAACTCGAAGATAGTAACTATTATCTATTAAAATATAAATGACAAATAATGAAACATGCAATATAAGCAATAAAAGAAGTAGGTGTGAATATATAATAACAATATAACCAAACTTTAAAGTTGGAGTCATGTTATATAGCTTAAATAGAATTATTTTTGGCAGGATGATGTTCATAATCATTTGTATGTAAATTGTAAGCAATGCACATTTATGTTAACATTCATATGCAATCACATCTTGTACATTTGTGCATATATATACATGGTTTATATGTTATTTATCTTTACATGATTGCACACACACAACAACAATAATTAGGAAATGTTGAATTTTTTGTCTATTTTTAGTCTGTTTGTACCTTCGGCTTATCTTATTAATTATACACGTCTCAAAGATCATAGTTTTAATCTCTCGTACTCATACACACTACATGAAAGTAAGTTATTTCTGACGGATTTTACGGCAGAATAATGTTCGTCGAAAATGTCGACGAAATTTTTCGCAAAAAAAAAATTTGATGACAGATTTGAGACCAAATTTTTGCAACAAATTTGCGATGGATGTCTCCGCAAATTCGCTGTAAGCTGGCCTTATCTAACTGGCTTGATCTTTATCCATTTCATTTGCTCTTTCTACATCATGTCTCTGTTCTTCGACTTTGCTCCTCTGTCATTTGTTCCTCGTTGACTTTGCCGCCTCTTCCCAATATGTTCGTTGCTCTTTGACTTTGCCTATGCTAGTTCGTTGCTTTTTTGATGCATTTAGTGGAAATCAAAGAATGATAAAGTAGATTAGTGGAAATCAGTCTGCACCTACATCGACCAAGCATGAGACTAAGGATACATATTCTGATTAGATTGTTTTTGCTTTTTGATGCATTTTGCTTTTTCTAATGTATAAGAACTATGTTTATTATAACATTTATTAGAGCATTGTTGTATTATTGTAGAACAGTTTATAAATAGCTTATGCAACATATTTATTGTAGCACTGTTTGTTGAAATATAAGCAATTGTAACTATTACTTAAAAAATGCTTGGATTTGTTATTATTGTAAAACTGAATAATAAACATAATTTTTTTTTGGTACATGTAAGCGACAGATTTGAGGCTGAATTTTTGCCGCAAAGTACGATAAGATTAATTTTTATGTAAATTGCGGTGGAATTTCCACCATAATTTACGGCAGACGTTCTATCATAAATCCGCCGCAATTTACTGCAAATTTTGTGAAGGATAATTGTAACAAAAACTTTATTTTTAGAGCTCAAAATCTATCGCAAAATATTTGTCCGAGTGTATTTCAAAAATCCGGTGCAAAAATAATTGTGGCGGATTTTGTACGATGCAAATGAATTTTTTATGCACATTTTCTCATCAAATTAGATCTGTCGCAAATTCGTTGGGTATCCTATTTATCAGCTTATTTTGCTTGTTTTTCGTCTAATTTGTCCGTCGGAAAACAGCTGCCTTTCCTATAGTGACAACTCTCAACCAACTGTCACTACCATCCATGAGAACTCACTCTTTTACTTTTGAAGGTTAGAAATTCACCTCAAATGGACATGCTAGTACATCAAGATGATTCATCTTCATCACGACGTCTAATGAATCATGATGTAAGTAATCAATAGGATTATAATAGATCAATCATAAAATCCGATGAGTGCATATAATGACAATAAGTAGCCAAAAGACAAAGTGTGCAATTTTTTAGACATATTTGATGAAGGGTGAGGGATTTTCTGTTATTGTGAACCAACTTTAGCGTTTTTAGATGAATTGGTATACATGCTTGCCATCTTTCAAATGATCCCAATATATAAATTGAATACTTCTTAAGCTTTGTTTGAGACGACTTCCTTATTGTTTCTTAAAGTAGTTTTATAGTGCAAAAATTAAAATTTATTAACTAAAAAGTTGTTTTAAGAAGCAGTAAGAAAGCCGTTCCAAACGAAGCCTTAGTCATTATATGCTTGAAGATAATGTTCAAAATTAACTTGATTACGAGGTTTTTGCGGGAATTTATGTCCACATTCTATATCATGATATTATAGTTTGAAGCTCTAAATGATTCAAATGACCATTGATGTACCAAGCGGTCATAATAAACAAAAGAGATGCACAATATTTTAAGTATGTAATTTTACCAATAGTTTGTTATAAATATCAGCTTTAGTAAATCCTATAGCTCAATAGATATAACGAATATAGTTAAACAAAGAGGATAACTCAAACTCCCATATCATTATCATATTGTTATTGCCTTTGATAGCGAGATTCCATTACTATTTCTTTCCCTCATTTTTTATATATGACTTCAAGTAGGAGTAGGGGTGTCAATATTGGACACGACCCGATCACGACACAGAAATTTCGGATTCGGGTTGACCCGAACCCAAACAAAGTTTTCAACCCATTTCAGAAATCGGTCCGAGTTCGGGTTAACCCGGAAACCCAGAAATGACCCGGATTGACCTGCTAACCTAGCTGCCCGTGGCCAATCCCGCGTGGCCGCGTGACCCCTCTCCCCCTGCTTTCCCGCTGACCGAGCTGCCGCGTGACCAATCACTGCTGCCCGTTTCCATCTTGCCTTGCTTGCCCTTCGTTGCCCGTCAGCCCGTGGAAAATCCCACCCCTGCCCGATTGCCCCACTTGTCAGCGTGCCTGCATGTCCTGAGGAGGCGAGAACCCAAGCCCAAGGCCCATGTGACCGTATCCAGACCCGCGTGAGGGTTAGCCAAGCTGGCTAGCTTGCCGGCTGTCGCGTCCAAGACCTCCAGGTCCAGCTGTTCGGCTTCTGGCATCCCGCCGTGCATGTTGGCACCCGCTTTCGGGTCGTTCGGGTTGACCAGAACCCGAAGCAGGTCGGGTTTAGGTTCGAAAAACTGACCAATTTGTAAAAACGGGTCGGGTTTGGGTTGACCCAAATAGTATCGGGTCAGTTTCAAGTTCGACCTGAACCCGACCCATGACCGAAATTGACACCCCTAGGTAGGAGCTAAAGGGGGAGAGATATAAGGGTTTTAGACATGAATTGGAGTGAGACAAAAGAGTTAATTTAACTTTATACACCTGCTAGTAAAAGGGTTGTGATGCGTTAGGTTTGACATGACCAACGTGGCCACTCAATACATAATCTATTTATAAATGATGTTATCCAAATTAACTTTAATAATTTATATCAATTAAGTAAAATGATATAAAATTAAGTAAATAAATATTATTTAAGATTTATTTTGATTAAATAGAAATTCTAATATTTAGTTAGATTTATAAGTTCTTAACTAATAATTAATTTAAAAAAAGTTTTATGCAAATTATAATTTATCAAGTGTAATTAGAAATATACACTAATTTATAAAATAAAAATAACATTAATTTTTGATATGACGAAATTAAAATGATATTAAATTAAGTAAATTAATATTATTTTTATTTAATTTGATCAAAATATTAGCTGTCCTACTACTTCATGATCAATTGAGATTTATTTATGATAATGACAGTTTAATTAATTTAATAAATATTAATATACAATAAAATAATTTTATAAAAAATAATAATTAATATAATTTTAAATTTAAAAATAAAAATCAAATACTTTATTTAAATTTAATAAAGTTTAATAACTATCATAAATTTAACCCACATTGAATAATTTATCCTACAAGCATACTTGGCCAGGAAAAACAGAGTCCGAGAGACTTCGAAAGGGCAAAGAGCGAGTGGGGAGGGGGCTTCAGGGTTTGCATGAGGTCGATCAGGACATGGAGATTGACCTTGTGCAGCAGTGTTGTGAGAGCTCGGCAACGGCGGAGGACTGGCGGCGGGCACTGACGACAGTCGTGCCGGCTGTGGTCGTGCTTCGTACGACGGCCGCTCGAGCTTTTGACACTGAGGTCGCCGGCGCCAGCTGCGCCACTGGCTTCGTCGTGGACAAGTCTCGCGGCATCATCCTTACCAATCGTCATGTCGTAAAGCCGGGTATTTTCGGAATCTGTATCATTTTTTTGTATAGAGTGCTTCATTTGGTCTCTCTTAATGCGCAGGTCCAGTTGTGGCCGAGGCAATGTTCGTTAACAGGGAGGAGATTCCGGTGTATCCAGTGTACAGGGATCCTGTATAATTTTCTTGTCTCAGATTCTTCACTGTCTTAAATTTTTATTTCTTCTCGTAATTGCATGCTTCTTGAGTGCCGTAGCGTGCTTAGATGAAAGATGCTATGCAGTTGCACCTAAAAGTTCAAGCTGGGTGTAAATTAGGATCTTGAAGCTTGAAAAATTAGAAACTTGGCTTTTGATTTAACCTGGGAATTTGTTCTTTAGGTGGTACTCAGTGCAAATTTTGTGCCGTTGTTGAAGTATTATATGTGGAATACATGAGCTGTTACGCGCTGTACACCTAGGTTTTGTTTGGACCCGGTTTTGTGTGCGTGGGGGAATCATTTACAGTCATTTTATATGTGAAAGCATAATCAATGCATTTGGGTGTTTTGGAGATATTAAAATCCATGTTGATTGCTAATTGCATTTAATGAAATGATGGAATCCGGCAAATCTCATTACTTTCTAAAATGCATTTTCTAAGAATAACCAGTCATTTGGGTCCTTTATCTCCTTTTTTCCAATGTGCTTATGAAATGAAAACCTAGAAAGAGAAAATGCAACCTCATTGTTCTTGTGCTGGATATAACAACAGTAGTGAATTTTCCCTTTAAACGGGAAAGTAAACTGCTTGAACCATGCACAAATAGCATAATGCAGAATGTGTGGCACTTAAGTGGTAAACTGGTAATGTATTCAAAGGGATATATGAACAACCTTTTTTGCTTTGTTCAAGGGAAGTTTTAATCACATTAATAAAACTATATGCTAATAAATTGCTTTATTTTCCATCTGATGGATATTCAGTTTGTGAGCATTATAGAGGTTACCCTACCTTGTCAATAATTAACACTTTTTGGTTAATACTTTGGACTTATTATTATTATTTTTTTTAAAAATTTGGCTTATGTTTCTTGAATCAACAAAGCTATTATGTTTGTGTTTTTTTTTTTTAAATTTTTATGTTTGACTCTTCATTGATTTATAGCATATGAAAATTGGTTTGTATTGCTATTTATTTTGTTTTTTGTCTGTGCAGTTTCCATCATTTTTTTGGAAAAGAAATTTTTAGTTTCAGATATAAATGCTTAATGATTACATTTGTGCTTGGTTGAATATGTGTATTTGATTATTGCACGAACTTTAATTTGATAAGTTTAAGGTATCTTAGGTACATGATTTTGGCTTCTTTCGTTTTGATCCTGGAGCCATCAAGTTTCTTAGCTATGAGGAAATTCCTCTTGCACCAGAAGTTGCATCTGTTGGATTAGAAATTCGAGTGGTGGGCAATGATAGCGGTGAAAAGGTATTTGCTGTATTGTTTCTATTTTTATTATAGGAAAGTGTAAATTTCTGTATTGAATATTTTTCCACATCTCATCAAAATTGAACTACATGCATTTTGATTTTATTGTTCCTTTTTCTGTTATTTGATTCCATTTGATTTGGGGTGAGTGATAATGAAGATAAACTTCCTGAAATGAAATTATTTTTTCACAGACACTGTTAAGTTCTGCGTGATGAAATATCACTTTTTATACTATTAACTTGATTGCTAAAAGTTAATGCCTTGATTTTGCAACAATTGTTGCCCTTGTTTTATTTGAAAGACTTTTGTTGAACTTTCTTGATTTGGCCAGAAAGCAATAAAAAAGTTTAATAAAATCACTATTTACAAATAATTTTTCCTTATTGAAATCTGATGCTAGTATGAAGAAATATTGCTAGATGATGGCATGGGGCCTTCTTATTAATACTATTCTACTTGCCTTCATAATGTACTAGGAGCATGCTTGTTTTCATATTCCATATATTGACTTAGAATGGACCATCAACACTTACAGAGGTGCTTACAGATTGCATGGGAGTTTTCTTGACAGATATAAGAACCACGATCTAAGATCCACTGGTCTCAGTTCAAAATGAAAAATTCTTTATGAAAGGTTACTTTCTGCTAAAACAGCTTTGGTGCAAAGTGAATAATTATGCTAATGCTGTCATGCAAAATGATTATTTTTCCTTTACAAATGTTCAAACCAACGTAGAGATTGTAAAATTTTAATACACCATTGTTGTTTAGTTGCTTTCATTTTGTGTCAAAAAGAAATTTTGTTTCTTGGATTACATATGTTGCATAGAGCTTTATCGGACATCCTCATTTTCTACTGTTTCATGAGCCATGACCATGGGAAATCAGCTTGCAAAGCAGCTGACACATCTTTTGAGCACTTTTGTTTTAAGCACTATACCATAGCACAAAATTAACAAGCAAAGCTTTACTATGCTTTAACCAAATAGCATACCGTTGGCTAGTTGAGTGAACAATTTATCAAAGGAAAATAAAAAGTTGGACAGAAAATTTTTGTTTATGGATAGTTCATCTTGGAGAACGTTGTTAAGAGAAGGGTCATACGGAGTCAAAGTTTGAGAATGATTATAACCTAATGATCTTGAACTAGCTTGATTGAGTGAAGGGTTTTTTTATGAACTTCACTATGGAGTAGGAGAGTGCTAATAGTTGATGCAACCAAATTTTTAGGTAGCTAAGGTTGCAAACAACCATACGACTTCCTTTCAAAATGACAAAAAATTAACACACTAAATAAGACACAACGACAACTTACAACTTTACCAAATTGATGAAACAAAATTTTTCCAAACTACGAAGGGAAACACTAGATATGCAAAAGAAAAAACACAACTAGAATTGCAATAAAAATTACAACAAAACTAAAAAGGACTTCCTTAACACTTAAATTAAAACAAAAAATAATTAAAAAACAACGAGGACACATTACAATTGATAGAAATTTTGAGAAGAAAGATACAATGGAATGATAACTTGCGGATATAAGAAATAGATAAGAAGATTGAGACGAAGTCATAGAAGGGAAGGGGATAGAAGCTGCTCGCAAGTTAGAGAAAAAACCCTAAGGTTTTCTTCCAAAAACTTTCACATAACACTCCCTAAAAATTGCCCAAAACTCCCCTTTAAATAGGATAAAAGCAGCCCAAAGGACACCAAATAGCCGCCCAAACAACCAACCAAAATAGGAAAACCCTTGGGAAAAGGTACAGCAGAAACCGAACAACCACAAGGGGAACCGGGACAGCCAAGAGCAGAACCGAACAACCACAAGGGGAACCGGGAAAACAAGGAACTGAACAACCAAATGCCAAGGGAACCGGGAAAGCCATGCAGGAACCGAACAACCAGCAAAGGGAACCAAGGACAGCCTTGTTTGCATCAATAGTGGAAACTGTTCTTCATTGTACAATTTTGACCACTGCACATAGTGTAGGTTTTGGCTCCTTCACCTTCTTTGTTGTTGACAACCAAGGTTGTTTTGTTAATAGTTTTCTAATACTATAAATCATGGAAATCTGTGCATCAAAGTGATGTATATGCTTCTCTTAAATTCCTTATAGATATAGCTATTATGTGAGATCCACCTCAAAATGGATGATACTCATGTAGCAATTTATATATTTTTTGGAGGTACATCAACCCAATATCTTGTTCTAAATAATATTTGGTAATCTTTGATAGAGCTCCTATATTTGTGCCCAATCTCAGGAAATTATTTTTCTCACTTCAGATAGTTATAATTGTCTATGGACCTCTGGTTTATATGGTGATTATTTTTGTTGTTCAATTTCATGAATTGCCGGAAGTGCTATGACAAATTTGCTCTTATACAAGGTATAATGTTTTGGTTTGTTTTGAACATTTCTGCACGTATTCAGGAGATCCATGATGAGAAAGTTTGTGTGGAGATGAGCAAATATCCGTTTAATTCTTTTTCCCACCATTGACAGGAGTTGATGTTCATATTTTGTAGAATGAACGTTTCCAATAACTTTTTTATTGTCCTATGAGTTATGTAGGCATTTTGTTGGATGCTTCTAGACGAATGTTAGATACTTGCTATTTTCTTTAGCTTCGATGTTTGAGGTTGATATCTTATTTGAATGCTTGTTGATTATGGTTCATTTTTTATCATATTCGATATATCGGAGATTGTTGAAATTGAAATGGACATACGGTATTTGTTTAGTTTAAGCTGCACCATGTCTACCATGGCGTGATAGTGCATTTATTTAAACTTGTTTTGAGGAAGATTATAATTTTAACTTGTCATTTTAATTTTTTATTCAAAAACTTGTGCATCATGTCCCTGACTAGTATTTTGTGGTTTGGCTGTGGATTGAGGTTGCAGATCTCTTAATTTTTTAAAAGATTTTCTAGCACCTTCTTATTTTTCGGGAAGATTGTCCAATTCTAATCAATGTTGTTATTCTTTAGGTCTCAATTCTAGCTGGAACTCTTGCACGCCTTGATAGAGAGGCACCTCAGTATAAGAAGTAAGTTCAATATTGTTTGCATGAATTTTATCTATGTGATGGGATAGCATGACCTACACTTTCTCACCCTTGTTATTTTACCAAACTATGCCTAATTATTCAACAAAGGCACCTTTTTGTTTGCTATTCAGGGATGGATATAATGACTTCAATACATTTTACATACAGGTTTGTTACTTTGGTCTCTGTACAAGTAGTTCCTTAAGAGAATTCTTTTGGCTTTATTTAAATACATTGTATATTTGTATGCATTGCATTCCATTTGATAGTCAACTTAAATTTTTATCTTTTTGTCTTTCTAACACTAATTTGATATGTACATATTCCTGGTGGTTTTAGTTATTAGTCTATATGGAAAATAATATGTTCATACAAAGAACTTCAATATTAGCATCATTATCCTTATTCCAACTATCTGGGATTCGCTTTATGATGTCTCAGTATATTGAATACTACATGATGTTTTTGTACAACAACAACATCAAGCCATTGTCCCACTACGGCCGGTGCAGCGGCCCTTGCACACTTGTCACTGTATTCAGGCCATACAGCGCGTCGCTTCCAGGGGACGCCCTAGCATTAACACAATTTTTTAAAGGATTCATGTCATTATTGTTCGACAAGTTTTACGCTGGCTGTCGACTACCTAACGCAACCATCCACTTTTCTCATCCAGGACTTGGGACCTGACAATGGCAATGACACTTTTCTCATCCAGGACTACATGATGTTTTTGTGCAGGAAATATTAAAATGCTCTAAATATAGTTAGTGAATTACATTTTTTTTTTAAAATTTGGCTTATTGTACTTATTTCTGTATTATATACATGGAGAGGTTACCATTGAATAATTAGTAGCAATTTCTCTCTAAGATGGTATCAGAGCATGGTTAGTTATAACCCTAGTCACCTCTCTCGCTCTTTCCTTTATCTTTTTATTCCCATCGTCATTTTCTTAGCTCGATCCCAAACCTTGGTACAATCCTCTTCTTTGTCTTCCACGCTTAGTGTTTGCTTCTCTCACCCACTCCCAACAACTTGCTTACAATGTCTATGGCTTCTCGCAACCACTCCTAGCGCTTATAATCCTGCCTGCTCCTAGCATTTGTGATCCACACCCTCTTTTTATTTCTGTTCAACTAGCTTGCAACCTCAACATTGCACCCTATGACCTTGCTCACTTGCATACACCTCATCTAGCTGCATTTGCACCCCTTAAATTTCTCATATTGTTGATCCTTGCTCATCGTTTCATGTGTCATTGCCTCCTATTACTATAGACATTGCAATTGCCACCACTATCTTACTACTTAAGGCTAGAACTTTCAATGTCACCCATTCTCAATAATCAGAGCCAACACTTTGAGTCTTGGACTCTCTAATCAATGGTGTTATGGCTTCATAATCTTCTTTTAATGATTTCAAACTACTCTCGTCTACCATCAATACCATAATCAAATTTGATAGTATCAGCTATCTCATATGGTCGAGTGGACCTTTCATTTCATTGTTTGTTCTCAAACAGACTCCATCACAATGCACTCTATTTGTCTTATGTTGGTGCCTTCAAGTTTAAAAAATGGAAAACATTTGACCTTCTTTTCATGCTATAGGATATTTCCAAACAATATGAGATTTTCTTTGTTCTACTTATTTTTAGAAAAATAATATTTTATTATTTTTCAATGTCTACACCCTCTATTCTTGTATTTTTTTCTTTTCAACAACATGATTTGATTGTTCAAAAATGCCATGGTACCTTCTGGGGTAAGTTGGATGCATTTTTATTATCAAAAATTTCTTTGAACTTTATCACTCTAATGGCATGTACAATATCAGGTGATGGCCAATTCTACAATACTCATTGTTGTAAGTGCTCTTTCAAGAGTTTTTTGAATCACTGAGTTTTTTACTTCCTCTTTGTTTGTTTTTTTGGCTAGTGTACTCTTGGTAGAGGGCATCATGGTGATCTAGATTGTGGTGGCCAAGCTGATATTGGTCTCATGGTGATCTAGATTGTGGAGGCCAAGCTGATAGTGGTCTTGGCAATAGGGGAAATAACTTTTTTCGTTTCTCTTATTGCAATCATATTAATTATCCTTTGGAACATTATTGGGCTAAATTTGACTCTCAATTACTTCCCTACATGCCTTTGACCCACCCCTTTGTGATTTTTATTGGTGCTTCCACTCCCACTACTTTTTCTAGCTCCGTCACTTCGTCTCAAGAGGTTTGACTGTCTAGTTCAACACTAATATATTTTTGCCATTTCCTCCTTTGGCTCTATAGCTTTTTCTTCCTATAGTATGTTTTGAATTTTAGACTCTATGATGTGAAACGTACATGCGAAGATGAGCTAATTAATGAATTTGCACGCTTAATTTTGAGAGCACAATAATAAACAAGATCTTATGCGGAATTGAACGATAAGATAAATATAAAAAAAAGCACTTAGCTTAGGTTAAATCACATGACTAAAAGTTAAGTTCAAAATGATAGCCAACTTAATCCGACATTGCATACATGGATCGTTTCAACAATAAATTCCAATACTAACAATAAGATTAGTCTATGAAAGATCCCTCACACACAACTCTTCCTATTTCTAGGTTCTAGCGGAGAAGCATTAACATGATCGTTATGAATTTACTAGACCACAATTGAGAGCACTTTGAAGATAAAAGATTCGGGGAGAGAGTTTACTCAAAGACGAGAGATTGCGAAGCTTCCCGTTTGATCACCAAGGCACTGGATGAAGAGGACAGCAACCCCACAGTTTTCCAGAAAATCTGGACAGCAAATAAAGGTCTTCCGGATGGCGACACAGCATTAGGAACCTGCTGGAACCTTGGGACAGCAGCTGTAGGGCTTCAGGACAGCAACCCGGAGGTTTTAGGAGAGCAGGACAGCAGCTCGTCTTGCCGAGAATTTCCTGGGCAGCAGCTACGAACTCTCAGGACAGCAATCATAAGGTTTTCGGAGAGCAGGACAGCTGTTTGGCCTGCCGAAACCTCCTGGACAGCACCCCCAGCAAAGGTGTGGGGAAGAGAATAGGTTGGACGTAGTGGGGAAGAGAATAAGTGCAGTTTTGGCCCTTGAGTGTCTCTCCAACGATGCGGGACAGCAGGAAATTGTATGAAAACTGCTGGACAGTAGGCTGTAGGAGAGCTGCCAGTAATTTGGGAGAGGAGGGCTTAGCCGTGAGATGGAGGGAGAGGGAGGAATTTAGAAAAACTGAAATTAAATTCAGCTCCAAGTTGTTTTGGAGGGAGATTAATTTGAAATTTCAAATTAATTCATTAATGACTAGGAGCGTTAATTGAGGAGGTAATTGGGGCTGATTTGGTGGAGCTTTTAATTTAATTTGGGAGAGAGAAAAACCCATTAAAGGGGGCCGGCCACATGGAGAGAGGGGAGAGCACAATTGTCATAAGTAGAGTGGGGACCACAACTTTAATCAATGATTTAATTAAAATCTGAATTGATTCTCAGATTTTAATTAAATAGGAAAGTTTCCAAATAGATGAGTAATCAATTGGGGAAGATTTGAATTTCAAATTTGAATTGAAATTCAATTAAGATGATTTCCTAAAATCAAGGAACTATTTTAGGAAAGTCTTCAATGCTTCTTGGAAACAAATTTGAATTTCAAATTTGAAATTCCCAAGAGGGAGGCCGGCGGCTAAAAGGGGAAGAAGGGGCTAAGGGGCGGGGAGGGAGGCCGGCGAGTGGTGGCTGCCAGGGAGCCGGCGGCATGAGCTTGTGGTTGGGGGTTTTGGCGGTGGGGGAGGGGAAAGAGTGTTGGCCGGCCAAGTGGAGGGGGGTAGTGGAAAAAATCCGGCGGCTAAGGGGAGAGGAAAGAAGAAGAAATTCGATAGAAAACCAAGAGCTCCACCAAGGGGCTGTTGGGTATTGCTTTGAGCCTCTCCTAGGCTATTCCTCACTCGAGAACTCACAAAGAGAACTCTAGAACTCACAAAGAGATCCAAAACCAAAGTTGAAATTTTTCATATCAATATTCATCATCCCTTTCCAAGAGGGAGGGGAGGGCTTAAATAGCCAAATACAGAGGGAAAATAAAAAGACACAATTGCCCCTAGGGCAAACATAAAACAAAGCCCTCAAGTGAGGGTAGAAATGAAAAAGTACAAATAACAAATAAAATACATGAAAATAAATAGACACGATCGTAGCCGTTGATCTTCGATGTCCTCATCACTCTAGTGCTTCTTCGCGTTAATCAATAGTTGTTCTTCTTCAACATGCCTTCTCTACACATGCCATTTTTGCTAATGTTTCTCCCTCTCTTCAACATGCCTTCTCTACAACATGACCTTTCTACCTTTGAAATGCTCAAAGGGAAGTGAATAACTTTACAATCAACCTTTCTATTTCTTTTCTGCGGTTGTTGATATCCAAGCATTTCAGGGCACCAATACTTGGCATGGTAGCTAGATTCTGCATATTAAGAATGTTTGTGTTTCCTTTTTCTTGCCTTTCCACAATGTTAATCTATGATGTGTTTTCTCAGACAACTTCGAGAACTAGCTTTTTTAAAATCATTCCATGCTAAATATAATACATTAAGAAATTTTAGCTTTTTTTTTGTGGTTGTTGATATTTTAATGAAGATTTCTTTATGTTTGTGATTTCATGTAATAATGTAGGCTGCATCTGGTACTAAAGGAGGTTCGAGCGGCTCACCTGTGATTGATTGTCAAGGAAGAGCAGTTGCTTTAAATGCTGGCAGCAAATCATCCAGTGCTTCTGCTTTCTTCCTTCCTTTAGAAAGGGCATGCCTTCTCATTTTCCTCCATTTATGAAATCAAAGTCATTACGTTGTGCTGTGTTCTCATATCTTGAAGCTATTGCAATATTGTTGTTTTAAAATTGTTTTATTATATTCTAAATATCCCATTTGATACTCTCCATATCGTCTAGATTGAATAAATTTTCCCATGAAAACATTTATACGCCTGTGCATAGTATGATGGAGAGTGCATTACTATATGCTCTCTTTCTTCCATCATTTCTCTTTTTTTCTTTGATTTTTTCTCCATCATTTTTCTTCTATTCTACTTGCATGGGACATGTTATACTTGTTGATTAGGTGTTAGTTCGAGTTTAGCTAAGCTCAAACTAAGAACTAATGCAACTTTTAACATTTTGGCATAATGCTGCTTAAGCCATCAGAAGTGGGTCGGGCTCATGATGCCAATGGGGGTCCTACTTGATCAAAGTAAGAACTTATATTATTATTATTTTTTAAATTCACTTCCAAGGGGGAGGCAACTTAGTATAACATTTTTTTTATGGTATTCAGCTTCAATTATACATGGTGATTAATTCATTTGATTTGGATTTTGACGCCAAAATGGCCTGAGCAATTTCGGTGTTACCGAATGACATTAGCAGGTTGTTCGGGCATTAGATTTAATAAAGAAGAACTGGGATGCCTTTGGAAGCCACTTGGATGCAGTGAAAATCCCTCGTGGTACACTTCAGGTTCGTTGTTTCTCTACCTTATTTGGCTTTACTATTGTTTTCTGGTCTGGATTCATGGAGTAGTTTTTCTGCATGTTGATATATCTAATTCCAGTATAGATGTGATATAGCTAAACCTCTGATAGTTTAACTTGCCTATGAAATTAATTGTCTTTTGCAATATTTTTTTAAAAGTTTTCTCAATGTAAATAATTCGAAATTTCATAAGATTCTTGTTAGTCGTTAGCATTAGAGTCATCCAAGATGAAAAAAATACTGGTTAGTTTGGCATGTTAATTACCACTTCGGTTTCTGCTGAAAAATGTGTTACTCGGACAATTTATTGGAGAAAAAAAGCACCAAGGCGCTCAGGCAAAAGAGTCATTGTATTGGGTTTCCAGCTGCTTAGATGCCTGTTTCTTATCATATTTTTTATTATTCAATCAATCTTCAGTTTTTTCATAGGACTTTTATGCGTGCAAATATCCGGCTTCAGTTTTTAGTTAATCAAAATTTTTTAAAATTATTCTTGGAGGAGCTCTATGGAATGTCATAAATGGTGGGTTGCTTATGCAGTTTTAGGTTCTCAACCAATTTCCAAATCTAATTTGACTATATTATTTTCATGATCTTACCACATCAAAGTGTTTAGACTTCTGCATATTTTCATGATTGCCAAACCATTTTCCCAATGTTAGTGCTCTACTGGCCATTGCTCCGCTTTTGTGAGCTTGAACTAAGATGTCAACTAGTCTCCTGTGTTGTTGATGTATTCTTGACTTAACAGGTGTCTGGATGTGGTTTTTTTTTTTGTTTTTTTTCTCTTGGATAGATATTACTCTCTCAGCTTTTTCTTGATCCAATGTATTTTGTTTATTTTTTATTTATTTTGGGAAGTTTTTTATAGCTACTTATTCATGTAACTTTTCATATACTAATGAAATTTTGTTGCCTTAAAAAAAAAGAAATCTTGGCATGGGATCTGCAATTGTGGGTTTAATTAATATTTTTAAGAAAATATATTTACAGTTACAACAAATAGCATTTAAAAGGTTTTTCATTTTAGTCAACTTTCCTTAAGCTTGGAGAATATTGTCAATTCCCTAATGTAGGGATTCATATATACTGGAGTAGATTGAACGTGTTAAGTGCCATCTTCATCTTTCTTATGAACTCTAAATATCTATATGAATTTCAGATGTTATTGTTAAGCATTATCTATATTTTGAGATATCTACTAAAAAGAAAAAGTAGATGTAGATGGGCTCAGGTTTGGAGCTAAAGCAAATGTAGAATTTTGTATATTAAATAGAACATGAGTATACTTCTATTCCAAATCTTTTCTGCATCAAAATATAGATGTATCCTGAATAAGATACCTACACTTTTGTTAACCAAACTAAAGTTTACTGTGGATATTAGTGGTAATGCTGCAATATATGTGAATGCACCATCTTTTAAAGAAAAAAAAGTCGAAAATGCCATTTCCATTTAAGTAAATTTATTTTTTCAGAATTAATTTCAAGAGATTTTACTAAAAATTTAAAGAATATATTTCATTTATGTTTTATTCAACAATTTTCAGTAGTTAAATTCACGATTTAAATTATGTGTTTTCCCTGCGCTTTTATATGCCTTTTGAACATCCTCCTCATGTGCAAGTTGAATTTATTAAAACTTGTAAATTATCGGTGCTCATCTGTAATTACTTTCATATGTTTGATTACATTTTTATGTTGTTGATGAAAATGAATGGCGTAATTTTATATTTGAAGATCATTGCCTGGTAAAATAATAAATTTGGGATGATAATGTTTCCACTCCAAGGAGGAAATGTCCATCAATGCATCTATTATCTTCAAAGTAGTTTCTCGGCTACTCATATATAGCAAATTTAGTCCCAAAGCATTATATTGTTCTAATTTAGTCCTCAACTATACAAAATTGATTCAAAATTGTTCATTAGGGATTAAATTGGGATCAAAATTTATTAAATTTTTATCACAATTACAACTTGAGGGACCATGTTAGATTAATGTTGTATAGTTGAGGGATTAAATTGGAGCAATGTAATATTCTGAGACTACGTTTTCCACATACAATTAATTTGAGGATTATTTTGATTTTTATTTTTATTTTTTTGCTTGCAGTCTTCATATGCTAACTAGAATAAGGTTTTGTTTGGGATAATTTTCTTACTATTTTGCTTTTCAGACCGCAATCACAATTTTTGTTTGAAAACTACTTTTTCATTGCTTTCAAAAAATTTGTGCACTTGAAAGCTACTTTCTACAACAATTTTAAAAATTTACTCCCTCTACAACATCTTTACAAAATAATAAGAAATATTTCTCAAGCGAAGCTTAAGAAACACCGCAAGGCAGAGTTTTTAACTACTCAATGTACTATTTGATCGGACACTCTATTTTCTATACATTTACACTGGCCTTTGTGAGAAATTTGGTTAATATCTTTAATTTATTGCCACAGAGGAATTTTAAACCTATGTTGCTGCGTGGCAACCGCACCTTTTTTTTTGGTCAGTTGACTACTCAATATTTTACTTTTTTGTTTAATGACATTTTAATAATTAAACTCTTTTTTTTTAAAAGGTGTTCGGATAACATTTGTATGTAAATTTTGAAAGCTTTGAATTTGAACCTCGATAGTTGATAATTAAACCAACTTACACCTCTAATTGTAATCATTTGATACATCCCCATTAAAATAGTAGTTCGCATCGAGAAAAATGCTGCATATTTCTTACCTTGTTCTGTTTTATTTCATGAAAACTTGTAGATTGCCTACACATTTATATTTTAAAATGATTTGCTTGGACGTGCTTTCTTTTTATTATGTAGAGCATGGACTATTTTCAAGGACATTTGGAAGTTTTCTATAAATAGTATTATTTGATTATTGTTCTATACCATAATTGAATTGACTCGGTCATACTTTAGGTGACATTTCTTCATAAAGGATTTGATGAAACACGCCGGCTTGGACTTAGTAGTGAAACTGAAAAGGTATAGTGCTGTCTTATCCTTATTCTGCTGATGCAGCTTTTCACATGTGCTTACGCATCACTCTTTCATTGGCTAACAACAAGCAGGTCGTGAGAAATGTGTCCTCTCTTGGTGAGACAGGAATGCTGGTTGTTGATTCCGTGGTAAGTAGAAGATATTTGATTTAGTTGTGTTTGTTTAATGCTATTATAGATATTCTCGGTCTACTACATATTCTTCTACATTGAAGATATATTGTAGGTGCCGGGTGGCCCTGCATACAAAAAATTGGAGCCTGGTGATATTCTGATTTGCATAAATGGGGAGGTGAGGCTTCTTGTATTGATTTGTGTTGTAGTCTTCAAACTATCTTTTGAGATTTCATATTTATTGCATGTATCATCAATAGATGCCATTGTAAATGGTTAAACAAGCAGGTCTTGGAACTTCAGGTAGGTATATTATGCTTGCATTCATAGCACATCATCTAATGCTCTTTTTTTTTCATCATCATTGGAAAACATCTATATCCCTGATCGCTTTACCTTTTGTATAGTATAAATTATATATTCATATTTTCCGTACTGATTTTACTTTGAAGGAAGGTCTGAATACTTTCAGTGTGAATTTGAAGGCAATCATTTCCTATTGTGAATTGACTTCCATTGTTGCACAGTTCAGTTCATACATCTTTCTATTCTTATTTTAATGCACCATCAGAATTTATAATTATTTCTTAAATGTTGATGAAGCTCGTGTTTTCCTTTTTTTTTCTGAAAATTTAATGCTAGCTTTGACAAATTTAATCTGTTCCTTGTTGATGCTCGCTTTTTTTATTAGAAAAGTAAACACTTGTAACTAGCCTTGAAGCTATTTGCTTCAAGCTCATGATTTCCCTTTTGCTTTAAACAATAAGCTTATGCTCCTTATGGTTAAAACAGAACGAAATCAACGCATACCTACCTGTGATAAGGCATGGATAAAACATTCATCTAACTTATTTTTTTCCTTAAAAAAAATATTATTTTTTCCTCCCAATTGTACTACACTAAGAAGGCACATGCTTTCATCTCATTTTACTTTTCAAGATTATTAGTATTTGCATGTGTAAGGTAGTTAAATATGTAAATCTTTCCTTGTTGAATCCTAAGCACTCTCTGAAGATGGCTAACATATTTTGCATTCCATTTATTATTATTATTATTTTTTCATGAAATAAGTCCAAACATTTATACGGGTATCTAAATGGGATTCATAGACATCTTAAATAATTTTCTTTCAATATTGAATTTTAATTTATGTGATGCAAGCAAAAATTTGGAAAGGGCCCCCAAATTTTTGCAAGCAAGAACTAAATCTTACTAGGAAATAGAAATGATACAAATTCTCAAAAAACTAGACAGAATACAACAAAAACAAACTTTAATATCATAAAATGACACTTACAACAAAGGACGCTTACAAACTTTGACATAAAACCTTAAACTTGCATTCATTGAGACGAAAGATACAGGTGAGGTGTCACTTGCGGATAGAAGAAGTAGGTTAGAAGCTGAGACGAAGTAGAGGAGGACAAGCTCGCAAGCTTTCCCAAGAAGGAGAGAAAGAAGAAGTGGAACAAGCTCGCAAGCTTTTCCAACAAATAACTCACATAACATCCTTTTTAAGCTTCAAATCAGCCCCTATACATAGGAAGAAAGGGGGAAACCAAACAGCCATTTACCTCTATTCAAGCCAATAAAAAAGAGGGAAATGAAAGGCCAAAAGACACCACGACATCCCACAAAAATATGCACAGAAAACAAGGAGAAGAAGCTACGGGAAACCCAACCAAAAGCCACGGAAAGCTCAGCCAGCAAGGGAAACGAAGAGCCAGCACAGGAAACAAGCAGAGCTTCACGGGAAAACAGCCAGGGGATAAAACCGAGAGGGAGTGATCACGGGAACAATAACAGACAAACATAAACCGAGAAGACAAACAATTCCAAACCGAGAACAGCAAGCAGCCCAAGGCCCCAAACTGAGACCAGCAAGCAGCCCAAGGCCCCAAACCGAGACCAGCAAACAACCCCAATCCGAGAACATCAAAGGCTCCAAACAGAGAACAGCAAGCAGCCCAAGGCCAAGAAGAATTTCAAGATGATTTGACCCCCCTTGCCTACATTAAATTCTCCTTCGGTTGAAAGAATTCATCTCTTGATGAAGCTTGAGGTTGCTTTGAATCTTATCCTGAGGTTTCCGAAGGTTGATTGCATGGACTATGACTCATGACTCAAAAAACAAAACTCACATGACGCCAAGATTCATACAACAACTTGACTCAAAAACAAAACTCACTCGACACACCGGGATTTGCTAACCCGCTCTGATACCAATTTGATGCAAGCAAAAATTTGGAAAGGGTCCCCAAATTTTTGCAAGCAAGAACTAAATCTTACTAGGAAATAGAAATGACACAAATTCTCAAAAAACTAGACAAAATATAACAAAAACAAACTTTAATATCATAAAATGACACTTACAAGACGCTTACAAACTTTGACATAAAATCTGATGTAGGCAAAAGGGGGGGGGTCAACACAATTCTATGGAGCCTTGGCTGATTTCGGTTTTGTGCTTAGTTGTTGAAATTTTAGTGGTGCAAGCTCATTATTATCATGTGGAGTTGTAGCTCATTATGAGCTAATGTTTAGCTCTAAATTCATTATGAGGTGCAAGCTTTTAGGTGAGTGGAACTTGTCTCTTCCTCTTCTTCTTTGCCTCTTGAGCTGCTGCATTACTTTTCCTTCAATTGGCTGAAGGAACCGTGGCCTTTATCCCATTTAATTGATGTCTTTTTCTGTGGTGGAACCGTGGCCTTTATCCCATTTAATTGATGTCTTTTTCAAGGTGCTGGAACCGTGGCTTTCCCTTGAGAATTGCCATGTCGTTTGGAGTTTCTCTGTGGCTTTTAAATAAAAGTTTGCTGCTGTTGGTTTTCCTATGCTGGAAACCGAAATTTTCTGCCCTGTTTCCTGTGCTGGAGCCATGACTTTACTGCTGTGATATTTGGAATTCCTGTGCAGAAAATTAAGGCTTTTATTACTCCATTTATGGGAAATTTTGGGCTGTTTTTGGACAGAAATTAGACAGCTTTTTGGGGACTGGTTTGGTGGCTGTTTGGGAGGATTTCCATGAGCCTTTCCACTGTTTTCTATGCATTCTTCCTACAGAATTCCTGCAGTCTTTTGGTCTTCTTCTTAGTAACTTATGGCCTTCTATCTCCCTATTTTAATGACTTTAAATATTGCTTTTAGGTGGCTGTTTGTATTCCTTCTTTGTGCCTATAAATAGTTGTTTTGTGGCTGTTTTAAAAAAGGTTATGTGAATGATTTTTGGAAAGAAACCTGAGGGTTTTCTTGGATAGCTTGCGAGCTATGCCACTTCTTCCTCTCCTCTTCTAGGAAAGCTTGCGAGCTTCTCCTCTTTCTTCTCGGTCTTCTAATCTCTTTCGTCTCTCCGCAAGTGCCATTCCATATGTATCCTTCTTCTCAAAGTGAAGCAACTATAGGGTGTCGTCAAGTGATTGAGTCAAGTTTGTAAGTCGTTTTAATTTTAAAAGTTTGTAAGTCATTTTATTTTATTAAAATAAAGTTGTTTTGGTTCAATTGTCGTATTTTGTATTCTTTTGGGTATTTTAGTGAGTTTCTTTTATATATGAAGTATTTTTTTTTTGTGATAAAAAATTTGGGTCCCTCTCCCAAATTTTTGTTTACATCAAAATCCTAAACTTGCATTCCTTGAGATGAAAGATACAAGTGAGGTGGTCACTTGCAGATAAAAGAAATAGGTTAGAAGCCAAGATGAAGTAGAGGATGACAAGCTCGCAAGCTTTCCCAAGAAGGAGAGGAAGAAGAAGTGGAATAAGCTCGCAAGCTTTTCCAACAAAACCCTCAGGTTTACATTTCCAAAAATAACTCACATAACATCCTTTTTAAGCCTCAAATCAGCCCCTATATATAGGAAGAAAGGGGGAAACCAAACAGTCATTTACCTCTATTCAAGCCAATAAAAAAGAGGGAAATGAAAGGCCAAAAGACACCACAACATCCCACAAAAATCTGCACAAAAAACAGGGAGAAGAAGCTACGGGAAACCCAGCCAAAAGCCACGGGAAGCCTAACCAGCAAGGGAAACGAAGAGCTAGTATAGGAAACAGGGCAGAACTTCACGGGAAAACAGCCAGGGGATAAAACCGAGAGGGAGTGACCACGGGAACAACAACAAGCAGCCCAAGGCCCCAAACCGAGAACAACAAACAGCTCCAAACCGAGAACAACAAACATCCCCAATCCAAGAACAGCAAAGGCTCCAAACAGAGAACATCAAGCATCCCAAGGCCAAGAAGAATTTCAAGATGATTTGACCCCCCCTTGCCTACATCATTATGCAATATAAGTTTTGAGATATGATTTTCCTGAAATAAACCAAAACATAGTTTGATATTCATTCATTGTTTTCCCGTAAATTTGGATAAAAATACAGGAAATGTCATTGTGAGCACTCGCATCCTTTTAGTGGAATTATTCAGCAAAAATAAAATTATTCTTGAAATAAAATATTACTTTTGTTATCATAATTCATTGAAGATTTGCAGCCACTTTGAGATTTAGGCAACTAGAACTCTCTGGCAATCAATTTTGTTAATATCTATTTTGAGTCAATTTAAATTCTCTGATTTCAAATTCAAGTCAAGAACAACTTGCTCAAATTTGACTTATTATTAGCAAGTGACATTTTGGATGTAGGCTCCTTGGTGTTTGTGGGCTCTTAAAATTCTTAGCTGGATATGCTATGAGAGTTTCTTTACAGGTCAAATGATGAGGGCATCAGATTTTGACATGTGTACCATCGCCGGGGACGACGATCGACGGCCTTGATTCAGAGCCTTTATTTGTGATGCTTTAGTTTTTCTTTTCATGAGTTTATTTCATGTTTTCCATTTGTACCCCTATGAGGGAAGTAGTACTTATTGTAGCCCAAGGGCGTTTTCGTCTTTATGCTTTTTATTTTGTCAGCCTATATAAAGGGCTTTTGTCATTGTATTTGGATTATTGAATGAATGAAAATTTTTCCATGCTTTGTTCTCTTTGTGAGTGCATGAAGTTCTCTTGGTGAGTGCTTCCCCTTGAGATCTCTTAGTGAGTTCTCTAGTTATCTTTTTTTTTTTAATTATTTGCTTTGCTTTGCATAATCTTCTTCCCACTAGAGAGTTCTTCCAAATTCCTCTTTCCCTTGCTCTTGCCGCCGGCCCCTAGGGCTTTCCCCACCGCCGGCCAAGCTCCACC